ATAAAGGTAAAGGTTTCCCCTTGACATTAATGTCCAGTCATGTCTGACTCTAGGGAGTGGTGCTCATCTCTGTTTCCTAGCAGAGGGAGCCAGCGTTTGTCTGCAGACAGTCTCCGTGGTCATGCGGCCAGCATGACTAAACACCAAAGTGCACAGAATGCTGTTACCTGCCCACCGAAGTGGTACCTTTTTATCTATTTGCGTGCTTTTGAACTGCAAGGTTGGCAGGTGCTGGGATGGAGCAACAGGAACTCACCCCGTTGTGCAGATTCGAACCAGCGACCTTCAATCTACCAGCCTAGCAGCACAGCAGTTTAAACCACTGCACCACCTGCACCCCATGTTTACAGGATATTTGGTGATAAAAATTATGTGCAAATCCTGCCAACATTTTTCATGGCTTAGAGGCAGTTCTGGCCTCAGTGAATGGTAGAAGCTCATAAAATTTGAAGCTATAAAAACAGAAGAGCTTTAGAAGAGTCATGCTGGAGCAGATCAGGATCCATGTAGTACAGGATTCTATTCATACAGTTGCTAACCAAATGCCTCCAGGACACCCACAAGGAGAACTCATATTATGTTCCCCAACAACTGATGTTCAGTGGGTTTGGCTTTGATCTAGGCCTAGGAAAAGCAGCCCCAAATAAGAAAATTATAAATATTTTTTGGTTAAAAAAAGTTAATAATGTGAATTAATTTAACAATAGTCATTTGATCCTTATTCGTGTATTCATGAACACTTGTATTCTTGCTTCACATTCATCTGCTCAGGGGTGAACATTTATCTATGCTTTTAGTCTCAAAACGTAGACCTCTCAGGAACTAAGAAGATCAAATTAAAAAAAAAAACATTTTGACAGATGACGTTGTGTAAACCATGATTTATCTATCTTACAAGTTCAGCTAAACATGAAACCTGTGGGGAGTTCAGTGCCATGTTAAAGATCTTCAACTCTCTGTAAAAGTGGATGTGGCAACTAATGATTTAAACTGTGATGTATCTTCAGCCAAAGAAAGCCAGACTGCTAAGGCGTGTAGACAAAAGTGGAGACAACAGTCAAATCTGTCAGCAAAGTCAACATGGCTGGCAGATTTTTTTTTAGTGAAAATATTTTGAACACATTTACATTTCTACCAGACATGACAACTTGCTAATAGAATTGTAATTGCTAGCAAAAAAGCAAATGTCATTTTATACATGTTAAAATAACTGGGGTGGGGCAGGAAAGACACCTCCCTTATGGGTTACAGTTTTGTTTTGTTTTTTTTAAGTGTATCAGTTGTCTTCCCAAAAGAAATCTAAATACCACTCATGTAACAGACATATCAATATCACAAATATGTAATATAAAATCAGTACCATCAAATACCAGACAAAAGGAAAGAATCACATTTTCAAAAAGGTTGAATGGAAATAAAAATGTATCTAAAAATAAGCAATATGTTGCCTGTCCAAAAACCAATTTGCTCAAAAGTTTAAAAAAGAAAAGCCTTTCTTTTGACAATTGTTAAAAGAATAGCTTGCAGAAATGGGGCAGCCTCATGACCATCACTTTCCCAAGCAGCTTGAGCGTTGGAAAAGAGGGGAATTGGGGGGGGGGCATTAAAAACCTTAAGAATCTCACTGCAAAGGGGGGGGAGTTTCCACAACTACCCTTTTAAAGCAAAGATCCTTGCAGCTTCGCTTTCCCTTGAGAGCTCTCCATTTGACAGCCGTGAAGTAATTACAAAAGAACAAAATAACCTATTTGTAGGCTTTCTTGGTCAATGTCCATGGTTTGCACCTGCTGCACTTTGACAACAGGAATTTATCACAGCATTGCCCAGAAAAGTCTTCCCATTTCAGCAAATCCAGTTCCCCATCCCAATTATTGTGCATGACAATTGTGCAAGACATAAGATAAATAAAAATGGTGAATGACAACCCTTCAGTGTTCCACTTGTGCCCTTGAAGGGGCTGTCAGTGGCTGTCACATCAGAAATCATGAAAAGTGATCTCCAAAGGAATGAGGGTCAAAGTGAGGGGTGAGCCTCAGGAAGTACAAAAGACCTTGTGATCAGAGAGGGAGAAGACAATGTGACTTCTGCTGCCAAGTCCCCTGAGATAGCTCCTGAAGGACCAAAGGGGAAGGCAGAGGAGACAATCCATTCTTCTGTTGGGCATGCTATGGGTTCCTTCCATGAACAACCTCCATAGTGTAGCTGTCATATCCTGTGAAGTCACCCTGTTGCTTCGCTTCAGAGGAGGTTTGGAAAGACAGACTGCTCCTCAAAATGTGTACATTCTTCTCTCTTTCATTTCTAGTAAGTACGTTTGCAGGTTTTTGTTTCTACTAAAAATCACAGGACAGAATCAACTTAAAGCTTCTGTTTTCACAAAGAAGGGGAACAATTGTCAGCAATTACCTTCTATGCCAGATTAGTGGGTGTGATGTACAGGCTTTCACAGAAAAGGAAGTTTGCTTAAAATTATCCCCTCTTCATTCTTCTAACAGGTCCTTCTATTTTCAGATGGAAATTAGCAGGATTTGTCCCCAAATACATGTATGCACACACTCTAAGAAGTACATCTTTTCTAGTACACCCGTCTCCCATCCTTAATAGGCATGGTTTGGTTAGCAAAGGTGTGTTTTCTTTCCCCATTGTTGAAAGTTCCTAACAAACAGAAGAGGGCTGGGGAAACTGGGTTACTCCCAAAGGGCAGAAAGGGAGCAGAACTATTCTGTCCAGCAGCTGTATCTATTATCTTAAAGCAATAGGTCTTTCTTTTCTTTTTTTTTTAGCTGTAGATGATCTCCTCTGAGTATGCAAAGTAGGTTGTTGAAGGAACAAAGAAACCACTGATGCTTTAAAATGATCACAAAAGCATCTGTGGAGGAACAGAAATTGGATCAGCAGTTCCTCCTGCAACTTTCTTCTCCCTAATGATGAATCAGCTTAAAAACTTTTGCTGATTTGCTGACTTTTCTGACTGCTGATGGAAGAAATCTCAATTCACTTCCTCAGAATTCCAAACGAATAGAAAAGGACCCATATCCCTAGTCATCTGGGAAAATTCTGCAAGTGAGTCAGGAGTTATGCCAAAACACCCTTTGTAGTATCACACATGATCTTGGCATGTACTGCTTGCTATGTACAGTGCAGTCATGGGGACTAATGTAGAATCTTGAGCCACCCCTTTCAGGCTTATTTCATTCATCCAATCATATAGAAAATTTCATAGAAACATAGCAAGCCAGAAGGGTCCTCCTGGGCCATCTAGTCTGACCCCTGGCTCCAGCCAGCTCCACTCATTACATGCCTACCATGTGCATGTCCAGCCTATCCTTAAACACCCTCACCAATGCGCTTCAACCACCTCCCATGGAAGCCCATTCCACACCCTAGGGGTCCTAACAGTCAGGAAGTATTTCCTGGCATTCACCTTGAATCTTGGTTCCCTGAGCTTTGCTCCACTGGAATGTGCCCTGCCCTCCACTGCAGGGGAAAAAAAATCACAACCCACCTCTCCATGACACCCACTCACATACCTGTATGTTGCTAACAGGTCACCTCTGAGTCTCCTCTTCTCAAGGCTGAAAAGACTCAGCTCCCTCAGTCTCTCCTCATACGGCTTACCCTGCAAACCAGCCATCATCCTTGTGGCCCTTCACTGCACCTATTCCAACCTTGCTATATCCCTCTTCTAATGAGGAGCCAGAATTGAACACAGTACTCCAGCTGCAGGTACACCAGAGCTGTATAGAGTGACAGTAATACCTCTCTTGATCTAGAAGCCGTGCTTCTGGCTATGCAACCAAGGGTGGCATTTGCTCTCTTGACCACTGTGTCACACTGCTGACTCATGTTTAGGCTGCAGTCAACCAGCACACCAAGATCCTTTTCACAAGTGCTGCTCTCCAGCCACTTGTCCCCTAACCCATACTTATGATACCCATGCAAGGTAATAATCCTTATGTGATCACAAAATCTGAGGCAATCACCTCCCCCACTTATTCTATCATAGATTACAATTTGGCTAATATTACTGAAGCTGAAAAAATATATTTGCTCAAAAATACTTATTGTAACCATGCCACCAGAAAACCATTCCTTGTAGAGGAGCACAGCTTGTTAATGTTTTAATAGTCAGCTGTAAATTCAGAGGATCAACTTATTCAATAAATAATATCAGAATACACATGACTGCATCTACAAAACTATTTTCAGTATTTACATGCATAAAGTAGACAGAAAGGGTGAATGATGATGAACATTGTATGAATGTTCTCCAGTTTTCAGACAAAGACCAATGAATGCTGACTAATGCTCGACATTTTATCTCTAAACTTTGGACATTCACAAATTTGTCTGATACGATTGGCATGTGCCAGGATGCACTGAGTTTATTCTTAAACATGTATATTGTTTTTAGCTTTTAAATTAGTAAATATGTTATTAAAAATAAATTATTAAAATACTATTAAATATAAATACTAATAAATACATATACTATTAAAAATATGAACACAAAGGTTGCAAATCATTTGTTTTCCCATATGTACAGCAGTTCTGTACTCTTAGCAGTCTCAAACAGCTTCCATATATGTACTTAAAGAGTTCTCGCACAAGTCCTACTGAAACAAAAATGTCTTCAAATGTCCCCAGTAATGAGACATTTTTCCAGCTGTACATTACACTGCCATACCTTCTTGGCATGATGTTATGTATCTAACTATGAAAACCTTTATTGCACATCTAAATCTTGGTTCATTTTTTTACACTAGGGGGCAGTTAGTGCTCAGCTACTTTATTTATTAGTTCTGACAAAATAAAACAAAAGATAAACAACAATTTTGCTTCAGACATACAGAAAAATAAAAAAGAACCACAGCAGCATCTTATGCTTTGCAAGCCTCACATGAAGACCTAACAGAGCAAAGAGCAAAGGCATAGCTCTGGCACATGTTTCTTGACAATATTTGTCTAAAACAGTCTAGACAGAATAAAGTAATACTCACCAAGCCATCCCGATCCAGAATTAGGAATGCACATGTCTGTCTCAGCACTGGGCAATACAAATCCAACCACAAAAACTTCTACCCCATCTGCCATTAATGCCATGCCAAGGACAAAGAAGAGGGCCCACTGAAAACGTCCATGCCCACATTCTTGAATGATTAGCTCATACTGCTGTGCTAGTTCTTCTTCATCAGCTTTTCTCTCTGTCTCTAGCTCAAGACGATCTTTGTAGTCATCTCGTATGGGCTGCCCTATGGCTGACATCCCATCCTTGTTCTGCGCTGTATTTGGGATTCCCTGATATTCTCCCTCATAAATCTCATCATCTTCATCATGTCCTTCAGTTGCTTCACTTGACCCTTCATCTTCATTTGCGTCTCCATCATAATTTCTTCCTTGTGCATAATACTCATTTGTTTCTTCATGCTGGAATCTATTGTGTGATTTTTCGGTATACCCATCTTGAGCTTTTTCTACAGCTCTATTCACTTTTGCTGTCTGCTTCTTAACTTCCTTGGCAATATCCTGAGCCCCTCTCATGAATGAAGTTCCATCTTCCACCCTGTAAGCTCCATCCATCTTGTATTAATCAATGTGTGAAAGAATGATTTCTGTGTGCTAGAGAAAAGCAGCAGGAGACTCCAAAACACATTCGGTTTCAAAACAAGATCTGAAAGATAAATATAAAAAAAGATGGAAGTGTGTTCATTCTTCATAGAATCACTCTTGCCCAAGAGACAGGACTATCTACCCACCAATTCCCCACAGATCGACCAAAGTACTAACCAGAGTGCACCACAAGCAGAGAACTGGTGCACTGCAGAAAGGCTTCTGCAGAGTAAATAGCTCCAGATGACACAGGCAAGAGAGCCAAACAACACACTAAAGGAGAAAACATTTTTTCAGGTTCTTTTGCTGGTATCCATAGATTAAACACTAAAATATGAGGCCCACTTGAGAAGTAGATTTGATCTCCAAACCAGAACTTTCCGATGGACATAGGCTTGTGTGTCCTTTACACATATGCACAGATCCATACATGAATTATAAAATGTCACAAGAATATTTCCAGGTAAGAAAAGTCATTTGGTTCTATAACATTCCTATCAGCCCTGACATTTATTATAATTAATGGTGTTACTGGGTCCTGTAATTCCTGCTTTGGAAGAATTCAGCTCAAGAACTGATAATGTTTGCTTCAAAATAAAGGGGAACAATATAGGCAGACTTCTCAGGCTTAGATTGTAAATCAAGCTGGAGAAGTCAACTGCTTTCTGCTTCTCCCTTCCTGCCTCATACCAAACTCTTTGAGTGGGAAGAGTTTCTTCCTTCATCTATCTTTGCATCCTGTTCCCAGTATGCTTCTGTGGCTGCAAGCTAGGCATCAAGAAACCCTGGGCAATGTCGTTTTCCCAGTGCTGCTCCTCAGCACTTCTGTCATTTGGCTCACCGCCTTAGAAAAATGCTAAGCATCAAAAGGGGATGACAGAAGAAACCTGCCACTGGAGCAGTAAAACAAGCAAGGTAAGCAGCTGAATGGATGAGAGAGGGGAGACCTTCTGGGACTGCTCTGAGGTAGGTGCGGAAGAGCCTGCACCCCATCATACTCTGAACGTTATCACAAAGGCAGAAGAGGGGCTGATCCAGCTCATTACCAGGTTTGCAATAAATTTACGTATCTGTGTGTTTCAACTATTTTCAGGCTACCTTCACGGTAAAATCTCAAGCAGTATGTAAGATAAAAATCAATACAAAAATATTCAACTAGGCAATAAATACGGAGTAAGGTACTAGAAAACACTCAAACAAATTGCAAGAATAAAACCTGTAGCCCACAGATTATGGGAAAACCTAAGGACTTACGAAGGGGCCTGACAAACCCCTGGTGGAAGTTGATTCTAAACTTTGTACCTGCATCAATGCCCTTGGCAGCCTCTGCTGATGACCTCAAAGTGCCAGCAGACCGGTTCAGAAGCTGGCCCTTCAGGTAACTTGGGCCCAAACCATTTCAGGTATTAAAAGTTAAAACCACCCATTTAAATTGTGCTGAGGCATGTACTAGCAACAAATCCAACTACTACAGTATCACATGAACAGCTCACTGCAGTCTAGACAACTGCATTCTGCAGCAACTGTTTTTTCTGTACCATCTTCAAAGGCAGCTTCTCATAGTCCACATTATAGCAGGTAAGATCTTCTATCTCCAGTTGGCATATCAGCCTAAGCTGCTAAAAAGCACTCCTGATCCCTGCCACAGCCTGAGCTTCCTCAGTTAACACTGAGTCAAGAGCTATGCCCAAACTGCACACTTAGATTTCTAGTCTTTGATGGAGTTGTTGTTGTTTCTGTTGCACTCTCCAGTACGTATTCCAATATCCAGATCAGTTTCCTTACCCATAGTGTTTCCATGACTGCCCTCATCCATTCCAAGATTGTCTTTCAGATACCAGTTCAGACATTCAAGTCAGGAAGAATTCATTCATTTTCAAAATTCAATTTTGAAATTCATCAAGGATTCACACTATCATTAATCATAATTGTAGTCCTTTCCAGGTTTACTGAAAATATGGAAGGGATGGCAAGATAATTTGTGCTGTCCCTATTCCCAACTCCCTATGTTCATACCAACAGAGCATATGCACTTATAAAATTGTATCTGCTTCATCTCCTTCTGATCCTGCCCCCAACCAGAGGGCACCAGGTAGCCTTGTCAACCACCCCTCGGGTCTGACGGTGCTGCTGCTCAATGCCAGGTCGGTCAATAATAAATCTTCCCTCATCCATGACTTGATTGTGGATGAGGGGGCCGACCTGGCTTGCATAACAGAGACCTGGGCGGGAGAGGGAGGGGATGTTGCCCTCTCCCAGTTGTGCCCGCCCGGGTATCTGGTTCAACACTGTTCACGCCCAGAAGGGAGGGGAGGGGGAGTCGCGTTGGTTTACAGAGCCTCCATCTCTCTCACGGGTCTTCCGGTCCCTTTGAGACCAGGGCTGGAGTGCCTCTACTTGGTGTTGGGCGAACGAGACAGATTGGGGATTCTATTGGTGTACCGTGCACCTTTCTGCCCAGCAGTCTCCCTGTCTGAGCTGACAGAGACCGTCTCGGATCTGGTGTTGAGGACCCCCAGGATGTTGGTCCTGGGGGACTTCAATCTCCATGCCGAGTCTGGACTGACCGGGGCGGCTCAGGACTTCATGGCCTCTATGACGGCCATGGGCCTGTCTCAACACGTCACTGGCCCTACCCATGAACGTGGACACACTCTGGACCTGGTATTCACGACGGGGCAGGTAGAGGATGACCTGAGGGTGAAGAACTTATGTTTGTCTCCCCTGTCATGGTCAGATCACCTCCTGGTGAGGTTTGTGCTCGAGAGCGGCCTCTCTCTCTATAAGAGTGCGGACCCGATTGTATGGGCCCGCCCCCGGAGCCGGATGGATCCGGATGGATTCCTGGGGGCCCTGGGGGAGTTTCCGGCTGACAAGACTGGTGCTCCTGTCGAGGCTCTGGTCGAACTGTGGAACGGAGAGATGACCAGGGCTGTGGACACGATCGCTCCTAAGCGTCCTCTCCCACCGGGCAGAGTCCGCTCTTCCCCTTGGTATACACCTGAATTACGGGCGATGAAGCGAGCTGGGAGACGGCTAGAGCGTAGGTGGAGGAAATCACGGGATGAATCTGACCCAACACACTTGAGAGCCCACTATCGGGCCTATGCTGTGGCGGTGAAGGCGGCGAAAAAGAAGTTTTTTTCCGCTTCCATTGCCTCCTCACAATGCCGTCCAGCGGAGCTTTTTCGAGTGGTGCAAGGCCTGGTTCGCCTGGGTCCCAAGGAAGATCCGATGCCACCCTCAAAGGCCCGCTGTGACGACTTTGCCAGGCATTTCAGGGAGAAAATCGCTCAGATTCGTCACGAGCTGGACTCCACTAATGAATCAGAGGTCTCCGAGGAGTCACCAATGCCACCGTCTGGTCCAAAATTACTGGAGGAATTTCAATTATTGCAACCCAATGATGTGGACAAGGTGCTTGGAAGAGTACATCCCACCACTTGCCTATTGGATCCTTGCCCGTCTTGGTTAATAAATAACTCCAAGCACGGGATTGGGACCTGGATTTTGGAAGTGGTTAACGCTTCTCTGAGGGAGGGTCGAGTGCCTGCCCCTTTAAAGGAGGCGGTAATACGACCGGTCCTGAAGAAAGCGTCACTGGATCCAGAGATGGCCACTAACTATAGACCTGTGGCCAACATCCCGTTTCTGGGCAAGGTGCTGGAGCGAGTGGTGGCGGGACAACTCCAAGCACTCTTGGATGAAACTGATTATCTGGATCCTTTTCAGTCCGGCTTCAGACCCGGGTACAGTACTGAATCTGCCTTGGTCGCCCTGTACGACGACCTGTGCAGGGAGAAGGACAGGGGGAGTACATCCCTGTTGGTTCTTCTGGACCTCTCGGCGGCTTTCGATACCATCGACCATGGTATCCTTCTGGATAGACTTGCGGGATTGGGGGTTGGAGGCACTGCTTTGCAGTGGTTCCGCTCCTATCTCGACGGTCGATTCCAGAAGGTAGTGCTGGGGGACCATGTCTCTACGTCATGGCAGCTATGCCATGGGGTACCACAGGGCTCCATTCTATCCCCTCTGCTATTTAACATCTATATGAAACCGCTGGGAGAGGTCATCAGGAGGTGTGGGCTGCGGAATCATCTATACGCTGATGATACCCAGCTTTACCTCTCATTCTCCACTAATCCAGGTGAGGCAGTGGCTGTGCTGAACCGGTGCTTGGCCGAGGTAAGGGAATGGATGAGGGCCAATAAACTGAAACTCAACCCAGACAAGACGGAGGTCCTGTTGGTTGGCGGATCGGGTTTCGGAGAGGGTGGATTTGACCTGGTCCTGAATGGTGCAACACTCCCTCTTAGGGATAAGGTCCGCAGCTTAGGAGTACTCCTCGACCCGGAGCTTTCTTTGGAAGCTCAGGTGACAGCGGTAGCGAGGAACGCCTTCCTTCAGCTTCGGCTGATTAATCAGCTGCGCCCCTACCTGGAGTACGACTGCCTGGCGACGGTGACACACGCGCTGGTGACTTCCCGCCTAGACTTCTGTAACGCGCTTTACGTGGGGCTTCCCCTGAAGACAGTCCGAACACTTCAATTGGTGCAAAACAGAGCCGCCAGGTTGCTGACGGGGACGGGGCGTCATGCTCACATGACTCCAGTCCTCCATCAGCTTCACTGGCTTCCCATTGAAGCCCGGGCCCAATTCAAGGTGTTGGTGATGACCTACAAAGCCCTAAACGGCTTGGGTCCTGGCTACCTGAACGAGCGCTTACGTCCGTATATGCCCGACCGCCCTTTGAGATCTGCGGGAGAGTCCCTTCTCCGGGAACCCTCCATGAAAGAAATTAGGAGAGTAAGTACCCGGAGGAGGGCTTTCTCTGCGGTGGCGCCCAACCTATGGAATTCACTCCCCAAAGAGGTCCGCCTGGCACTGTCGTTACTGGTTTTTCGGCGCCAGGTAAAGACCTTTTTATTTAAACATCATTTCAATTGTTAAAACATATGATCTGGCCT